TGAGTACCTTAATAGGATTGCCCTGGTGTTTATAAGCAAAACTATCAAAAATATATTTTTTTAAATTTGAACGACTTTTTAACAATTATCCTAGAAGAAAACCAACTCTATCTATAATCAATATTTCTCGGACAATATTTTTCTAAAAGTTAAATTCTGTTTCCCTTAAATGTCATACGAATCACATGCTGGTTGCCCATCTATGCAATCAAGGCTCGATTGTTGCCATAATAAGATCAATTTGCGACACTTTGCCACTAAACGAATTAAGTGGACATTAAATGAATCCTAAATAACATGTGTCAACATTGCTAGAAGAGCTAGAATTTGTTTGTGGCAAAATAATTCAATATATCATATCACGTGGCTTGGTTTAGTAAATCGGAAAATATTCTTACATCGTTAAAAATTTTTGCTCAAAAAGTAAAATAATTGTAAATCTCTTGTAAACAATTTGTAAGCAAATAAAAGATGATTACCATAATTATACAAATATATTTTGCCGATATATTATAAAATTTAATAAAAGTCTCGCATGGTAAGTTATAGTAATTGCAAAAAAATTGAAAATGAAAAATTTTATATGGATGTGTATATGTGTGTATGTGTATGTACGGATACAAATTTTCGTCGACGATTTCGGGAACACCGATCAACCGATTTAAATAATTAAAAAAAACTTTCGATTCGTATTGATAACGAGATGTGCTGATTAGGCTTTGGCGAAGGCAGCTCTAACCATTCCGAAAATACGGGGCAAAAAGTGCGAAAAACGGTTACTCAGTTTTTAAGAGAACGGAGCGTCCGATTTTAATATTTCAAAAAACATTGTACTTCTATTGATAAGTTGAAGAACTGATTCAATTTTTGGGAAGGCAGGTCCAGCGGTTATGGACTCTCAAAAAATGTTTTTTGCCGGTCCAAAATGTTCATTGGACATATGTACATCAAATTATCAGATATTATATAGAGATTTAAATAATGTGTACACATTATGTGTAAATTTTTTTGGGTTCCGTACCAAGATTTTTAATTACGGTACGGGAAGTTCCAGCAATTTGCCTTAAGGCTCGATGCCATGCACCCCACTATTTTATATTTATTATTAAGTACTTCCAATTTTCGTACAAAGCAATAAAAAACCGAAATAGTTACACATGTTAGAATATTAATTTTTCTTTAAATCCTCACTTTATTACGAGTTTCTGGGTATTACATGGGTCAATATATAAAGATTAAGAATAAGTTTAACCCATACCACTCTTAATACAATATTAGACAGTTTTACAATATTTTTTTCATATTATTGTTCAGTGGTAACTATCATCTTAAAATGTTACTTTTTTCTAGTCGGTCTCTTAATTGACGTGAAGTACTCCATATACGCATTGATCTCTCGGTATATTTTGTTAATCCTTGTTGTGTAACCTAATAGTTCGGTTTGCAAAGTTAAATGATATAAAACAAAATCTGAAACGTAAATAATAAAAAACCAAAGTAGCTTAAAGGGTGGATTATTGCTACAGAATCTCTCGTTATTAAGGGTCGCGTGCCACTGTGCGTAATTCGACACCGGCCTTCCCGCGGAAATAGGCTTGAGCTTCATTGTTATAAACCAGACGTAATTATGTTATCACTCGAAATTTAGTCGATATTATTTACCAGCAATTCAATCTGCAAAACTATCTAAATATAATGTCGGGTTGGAACTATGAGCGAAATTGTTACAGGAAAAGTTGGATAAATAGATGTAGGGAAGACGTGCTCTCCATGGTTCCAGTCGAAGACTATGCGAAAAGCTGAATTGTAATGATTTTTCTAATGAATTTGAATTAATTTGATGAATTTTACAAATATGAATCGCGGTTTGGTTAGCAATATTTCATAAAATATAAAAATATAACATCACAATGCATATACTATGATGTTATATTACGCCGGAGTAATCATTTAATGAAGCTTATAAATTTATTACCTTTAGCATATGCTATTAGATATATAAAGATATTTTAATTGAGGTATCCTTAATTACACTATTTTATCAAAATAAATTATATGTGTGTTGACAATTCCAAAAAAATATATCCATTCAGAAATAAATATCTGAAAATTGCTTATCATTAGTGTTTTCACAATATCTTGAACAAGATCCTGAATTTTCCAACAAATTGGTTTATGTTTGTTTTTCGAACAATTAATCTAATAAATAAAAAACAATAAGTATTTTGATAGGTATTAAATTACGTTTCGGAAATAAATGATGGAATGCATCATTGAGTTGCGCTGCCAAAAGCATTTTTTTAATTTTTTTAATTATTTGCATAGATTTATTGCCGATCAAAATAATATACATTTTTAAAGACAATATGATTTTTTTTAATGAAATTATAATGTTGTTGATTACCGAATGACATTTTGGTGTTATTTTGATGATCGAGTATTGAAAAACTTATAAAGGAATGGATATGTAGTTTTTGAAAAGCATATTTTTTTATAGAAAGTATTAAAAATTCAGAAACCTACAATATTTAACTATAATTACATCAATTTTTTGTCAGAAGCACTTTGTTATATCAGAAGGAATTATTGAGTACATGAAATATTAATGTAAATATATTTATATCTATTATATATATATATATATATATATATATATATATATATTAATGTGTGTGTGTGGTATAAATTACACTTTACAATCTTTGTTGGATCTATGCGGGCTTCCGTTTATTTTTTGCTCTTAATACTATAATAACCTTGTTAAATTTTCTAAAGTTTGTTGTGTTTCATTAAGTAAAATGGGCTATTCATTAATTATCAAAGTTTCTTAAACCTCTGAAAGAATAATTATTTCAAATTTTGAAAATCACTATAGAAATATTTTTATTCATATGCACATAAATAATGAATTTGCTATCTTAATGTAAATAATAGTTCACATAAAATAATTAAACTTCCAATACCTTTAATAATTACTTTTAATACCGTAATGAGTTATTTAAAATTTTAGTATTCATTCTTTTTTATCAATTAAATCAAAATTTCTTAAAACTTTTAGAACCGTATTTCTAAAAATTGATAAATATTGAAATAGTGACAATAATTTAATTTTTGTTTCAATAAAAAAATAATATTTAAAGACTATTATATATGCAATCACTGCCTCATATTTAAATAGATATTTTACTACCCCTACTCCCATTTAATAATAAACTACATGCAATATAATATTTAATAAAATAATGAATTAAAAAACAGTATATATTGTACTTAGCGTTTTTTTAAATTTTGTCACTGAGAAATAACATTCAAATTTCATTATGTATATGAAAATAGTGCATCTTGAAGCGTAATGTAAATAAATTTTATATTTCTAGTACCTATACAAAAATAAATTTCAAAGTAAATATTTTTCTTGTATTCCTTCAAATTTCATTTTTTCTAAATGATTGTTCAAGTATAGTCTCGTATTCTACAAAAAAACGGCAATTGAATACACACCCTTAATGGATAAATTCTAGGAGTAAAATATGATTGATAATTTCTAGGCATTTGCAACATATATATCTTTCATATCTTTTATATAAAACACCCACTCAACCTGTTATCGTAGCCCATATATAGGGAATTCTATAGTCTATCATTGACATTTTGATCTCGATATATTGTTCAGTAACCATTTGTTTGCCCTATATTTATTTCTGATTCTTTCGAATTTAAGGGTCACTTTAAAATTATCAGTGTTTTAATCTCTTGACGCATATGTCGTATGTGCTAAAATCGCTCGGGGGTATTGCTAAAAGTATCTTTAACTCTTAAGGACTAGGAAATATTCTATATTTTGTTTATAATTTTATATATTTTATTTCACGCATATAAATACAATTTTAAAATACAAAATATATAGTAAATCTATATTATAATCTTATCGAAATATTCTGTGTATTTTATGTAAAGTGTAAAAATATAAATATCCTTTTAAATTATATAACTTACATTTCTACACAAGGCTGTGTGTGCGTGTAGTTGTAGTGATATTTTTGCGAAATTCAATTTTAGTAATTTGTTTCATCGCAATATCTTTATTAATAATTTAATAACTAATTATTATAATTCTGAATAATTTTATAAATGATTTCATTAAACTTTATTGATAAATTTTATAATATTTTTTATCACTAAGTTTTCATTTAATTTTTAAGATGTTTTGAGAGTACAATAGAGAAATTTTGGACAATATTATTGGTTAAAATTTAAAAATTCGTATAAATTTGTTATAGATAGCTGAGCAGTGCTATGTAAGTTTACAATTTTACAGATTTTAGATAAACTCAATAACTACAATAACTGCATCGCATGCTATTTTACTACTGCAACATCTTGGCTTCGATTATTTCAGAACAGTTTAAAGAATTGCTAAATAATAGCAAAATTTTCTGAACTATCGATAAATGGTTAAGTATTGTTATTTGTCGTAAGGCCTAAAAAGTTTCACACAATCTCATTATCTACTATAAATTTTTCGAAGCAAACAAATGCAGAGGAACATTACTATCTTCTTCTTCTTCTTCCCCAGAAAGTTTCGGGACCGTCGTTTTGATATCACCATTGGCTTCGGTTTCATTTTTTAATTGTCCACCCTCCTAAAACTGAGTCTTGTGATTTCCGCATTTTTCAGAGTAATCTTGCTGCGATCTAACGGCTGCAATAACAACTTATTCCTCCTAGCCGCCTGGGGTTGAATCACGAAGGGTTGGATTTTAGCTTGTCGAATTGCTCGTCGACATTTGGCGTCAAATGGTGTCAGATGTCGGTGTACGTTGTCCGCTTTTAGATTGTTCTGGGGTTTGAACATTTGTTGATGGTGAAGCAGGGTTTTCGTTCAAGTCACCTGTTGAGTTTTGCAGGAAGTTCGGAGAAGTGGTTGTGTTGTATTTCCGTCTAGGTGCGTTAAAGATGGCGCGCTGGGTTCCTCCAAGGGAAAAGATATGTGGGATTTTCTACGAGCTGGTATTGGAGGGCAGTTCGTTCAGGTGTGCTGAACCGTTAGGGAGGTACTGAGAATACACGCCATTTAGGAGTTCTTCAGTTCTTCTGAAAGAATTGATAAATAGTTTATGACATATTTGGTAAATGTTTTATGGTGGACCGATATATTGCAATGCTACAGAAATTTTATCACTATGGTCTTAGACTGTGGCTCAGGGACCGATTCTGCCGCATAACAGACAAATGTTATGGCAAGGCCATGTTGCGCTCAACTTCCATACATTATGCTACTGAATCATACTGAATACTGTCGAAATGACATGTATTTGCCGTGCATTTAGGCGTTTTACACATAACTTCAACGCTAAGCGTATGTTGTGAACCTGAGTCAGAAAGACCCCCTTATCTAACATCGTTTTTTAACATTTGTGACTCTGATAACCTGAAAAAATCGTAACAACCTCATAGCTTTTGTCAATATTTAGAACAAATTTGTATGATAAGTTTTCATAACGTTGCCTTGCAATAACATTGGTCTGTCATGCGGCAGAATTGAATTACAGACCAGTAAAACTATAGAAATTTGTAATTTAGTACACTTAGTTGAGAGCAAAATTTTTTTAAAAAAATTAGAGTTTTTTTAAATTTAAATTATATCAATACCTAGTTAATGGGATTATATAAGTTTGCTGGCTAGGTTCGTATGGATGATGAACAAAATCTCCATCTTGATTTTCTGCCACTCCTATTTGACTTGTTCGAATGTGATATGGAAAGTTTTTATTTGCTCGAGATGGTACAGTTAAAAACTGTAAAATGTATAAAAACCAATAATTATTTAAATGACATTATGTGATAAAATTAAATAATTGTCGAACCAAATTACCAGAAAGAATGCATGTCCAGCAAATGCTATAAATAACTGGACTCCACAGACAACAGATTCTCTGACCCAGTTGTCGATGTGACTATTTGCAATCAATATGAAAGCTGGCCCAGAAATGAACCACAAAGATCCAAAAACGCTAAAAGGATAATAAAAAGTACCCTGCAATGAAATAAATAAATTTAATTAGAATACCTTATCAACGATAATCGTTATATTTTTAAAAATCTGTACTTTTTCGGGATATTTCCTTTATAGTAGTAGCTACAGAGCATATAAAAATTCCCCAGGCGACTATCCTTAGACCGCATAGTCCAAATCCAGCTACTGATTCGTACAAGTACAAAACTTCTCCAGGGTCAAATTTCTATAATAAATTTGAATAATTATTTACAGTAATAAATTTATTTAACTGCCTGCGTTTATGTATTTTACTTCAGATTGCGCGTATAAAATGAAGTACGTTATCACATAAGTATTGATGAAGACAACCAGTTTTATAATTGTTTTGCCTGACAGTCTTGCTCGGGTGATGGTAAATCTAAAAAATAGTTATACAAATGTTAAATTGAATTCTTTTCTAATGATATAACCTTTTTATTTAAATATAATTACCCTTTCGACATGAGCAATAATAATGTGAGGAATACAACTTCACTTGATGCCATAATTACACTACCTGAAATTAAGGTATAATGAAATAGTAACTTGAATAATATTCTTATGCCGAATTGGATATTTGTATATATGTACCCAACGTATTATGTGGTCCAAGTCCCGATAAAGCATATTTAACATAAGCAATACTGTTTGCTAATATTCCAAATTCTTGCAAAACCACAGAAGTACAAAAAACTTTATATGTGGTGTGGAGCAAATGCCTTGAACGCAATTCCACAGAACAGATTAATACAGCAAGAAACATGAGTAGATACACCATGCAGTAGAACATTAGTATAGGCAATATATCTGTAATAGAAAGAAGAAATAATCAACAAATCAATCACTGATTTTGCATAGGTTCTATCAGAAATATTGATAAACTTACACATTTCATCGGCAGAGAAATGTTCATGCCAGTAATCGCCAGGTTCTCCGTTGGTCATCAGAAATTTATAACGAATGTCCAATCCCTGGAAGCAACAAATTGAAAATTAAAATTATTTTAAACTCAATTATAAAAAAATATTATTTTTTATTTAAATTATAATAATTTAATTTAATTAACTAATATATATTCTTTATTATTAATTTTTTTAATATAAATTCTCAGATCAAGTTGTACATTGTAGTCCTATACGTTATTGCAAGAGTACTTATATACATAAATAAAATTTAACTAAGTTTTTGGTTAAGTTGCTAAAACATAACTATTATCAAGATTATATTATTTAGAGTGTAAAGTATAAATTCAATATTTTTTTAAAAAATTTATCATAACTACCTTGTTGGTCCTGCAATTGCTAACAGCAATGTACCACCATCTTTCTCTGGCACTTAAGAATCTACCTTTTTGTCTACACACCACCGTCAGAGTAGCTTTTCCTTCAGTATCCAATGAATGCCTTTTTATTCTTGAATTCTGGAAAAATATTAGTAACATATAAAAAAATTACATTAATAATTTATGCAACGCCAATTTTTTGTAATCAAATTAATAAAACCAATTCCATCATAAGCAAAATAAACTATATTCATGCCAAATATAAAATTCGAAGCAAATCGAATATTCATAATAAAAGAACTTTCTTGCAAAATTTTCACTTATTAGATGTTCACATATTTTAACCCCTTCCAATCGCGAATTCCGAGATTCATATGAATTGTGCCACCAGTGCGGCGGCATTCGAGTCGAAAGGGTTAATATTACATCATATTGAGTGTTAAGCATCTACCTTAGAGCCCTCCTTTCCAAATATGTTCAATGATTTATACAGCACAAAAAAAACAATAATTGCAAATAATATTCAATTTATTATATTACCTCTTTAAGTGAAACATTAGGATCAAATAGATTTTCAGTTTGTTCCTCCAGTTTTGTTCATAATTTATAGTAGTTATTTCTTCCATGGTTGTGGATTCTGCATTGGTATCGCTAGTAGTGATATTAAAATTTTCTTCTGTAGTCGTATAATCTGCAGTAGTAGTCTTTAGAAATTGATCGAAATATGTGGCATCTTCGGTAGTGGTCGGGTATTTTGGCTTTTTTGTTGTATTTCTACTTGAAACAATTATAATTTAAAAACATTATGATATAATAGATGAGAGGTATTTTGTATTATTTGGTAAATATGCTACAAGGCTGGTCAGATAACGCATTTTAATTTCTTCATTTTTCTTTAAAGTAGCTACTAAACTACTGAATCTATTTATCAAATATGAAAACATAAGCAATTTACATAAGTATCCACTATTACAAGAAGGGTATGTTAATTTATATTCGATATATTTTTATATGTCGAAGAAATACAAATTTAGTTCTCACAGTAAAAGCATTTTCAAATGGTTAAGTGAATAATATATTATGATTCAATATCTTATATTTAAAATTTTCAATATTTTATATTTCTATATTCATCTTAGTGTGAATGAAGCTTGTATATAAAATATAAAATGAAAATATTTATGAAATAATGTTCAAAATTATTAACTTATTATTGGTTTATATTTATTACAAAAAGTGAAGTAGAAATTTAGGCAAATGTTAATTAATTCAATGAAATCTTAGTAAACTTCGTAAGGATTATGGCTATTTACTATTTTCTCATTTTTGAATGGGATTTAATAAACTTATTGCCGATGAAGCATGTTCACATTTAATTTAGATAAATAGAAATTCCGACGACTATATATTACAAAGCCAATAATTAATCACTTCCTTGTAAACGAGATGACGAGCAGTTTTATATTTTCAATCACTTCCTTGTAAACGAGATGATGAGATGATAATATATGATGTTATTATTTATTTTTGATTTCTGAATATATTTATCGCATCTGTATGAATGTATACAATTCGTTTATTTCTAGAAATTTCTATTCGATTTAGTTCGTTTCTAGAAATGTTTCAATTTAATTAATAATTGATCCCTCTTCAGTACCTTGATTACATTGCTATACCTACTTATATAATTTTACAAAATCTTTAGTTTTAAATTTATAATACCTTATATGTTTTCCATTATCGTCTTCTGAGGTTGCCGGATCTCTTATGTAGCATCCTGATCTTATACTATCAGGATAAAGTGTACTTAATGGTATTATTTGGTTGTCCTGAATGCTTAGGACAGCTTCTTTTTGAGCACATGTCTAAAATTAATTTTAAGAATCAAGTGTTATAAATATGTAAATAATTTAGCTCACAAAAACTTAAACAGAAAACACATTTATTAAATGATGTTTTATACTTTCTATACATATACTACTTTATTACAATCAATCTATATTCTTATTACTACAAATATTAGGTGCTTTGCAATAATTTTTTGTAGAGCAATATTTTATTAGAAATCCTAAATTTTCGGCTAAATTTCGGTTCGGCTAAAATTAGAAAAAAATTGAAATCAAAGAAATGTAAAGTTCTGCTTCATATTAAAAATAATTATAGTAAGTCTCTACAAATTTTATAAGATATTTATTTTGATACGTTTAGTTTAGGTACTAGTCACTACCAAAATTTCAGATTATAGGACTTTTTATATTAATCAAGGAATATTATTATATTATGAATATTTTACCTTCTTTGTTTTATATACTGCTGGCCATTGGGTTTCGCTGTCATAATAGAGCAGCAGATTTGGTACTCCTAAACTTTTGCTGTATTCAATGTGATATTCATATTGGCCGTGATGAGATAAAAAGCAAAATCTCGCCAAGAAAGCCCAATTCTACAAAAACACCGAATAATTGTATGAATAGGAAGATTAATGTTTAAGACTGAATCAATTTGCAAATGTTTTGCCAATAGATATATTTATAACGATATTGAAGTAATTTTGTGCAATTAATTTCTAATAACTTAATAAATTATTAATAACTTAATAAATTAATTTCTAATAGCATAGTATTTCTTATGTCGAGAGCTGATGAATTTAGTATAAATATGAAGGTTAAACAAAAAATATCCATTAATTAAATTAAAAAATATCAACATATTATTAAATTATAGTTTTATTACAAAACGTGCAGTAGAAATCTAGGTTAATATAATGGAATCTTTATAAGTACCAATATGAACTCTTTTCATTATGACACAAATTTGAAACTCATTTATATATAGAAAAACTAAATTATTTACGATTTAAAGACATTAAAATTAAGTTATAGCTTCATTTATTATTGTTTCAACATTGCTCATGCTTTAAATTAATTGAATCTAATCAATTTCAAAATCCTTACCTCAAATGTTTTCAAATGTCCTTCCACATATTTCCCATTTGCAATATTAAATCCAGAAATAATAATAAAAATTTGTACTATATACCGATACATAACTTAATTCTAATACTGAATTCTAAAATATGTATTATGTTGTATTTATTCACATTTTTATTAATTTTTGTTTCAAATATGCTTTTATAAATTTTATAAATCGATTAGTTTATATCGTTATTTTTGTATGTAAATATTCAAGAAACAAGTCACAATTTTTACACTTTGATATTGTTACATTTTTACACAAATCACTAGTTTTATCACAATAATTTCACATAGATTCTTTTTTACATTATAATCACCGGACAGCACATTTCAGTTTACCACAACCATCACTACCCGTTTCGAATTAATCATTTTTTTATCTGAAATCGCGTAAAATCAAATAGAAATCGCAATATTTATAAACATCCCTGATTCCTTTCGTAAACGCGTCCCTGCATAGGCTGAATTTCGTCCTCACTGTCGCCAAGATCATGTTTTGTTTAGTCGATAAATTCGTAAAAATCCACCGGTTCAAAAATCACCCCTGGTGCTTTATTGAGTGCCCCTTTACACGTTGCTTCCGTTGTTTGTGTATTTTGTGCACTTTGTACGTGGTAGACGACTTTTATATACCTTTTGGCTTCCGAAGTAGAAGGCAAATTTTCTTTTATTTTCCGTCTAGCACTAGCTTTTCCTGCATGGTGGTCTAACCGAGATTACTAGGCGTGTGGTGTATTGAAATATAAAAGCTTCTCAAATATTAATTTTTGTTTTCCATACTTACAATTAAAGTACTCAAACATTTTGGAATATCTGCATGCAGTTTAAAACAATAAACTTCATATTTTCATTCATGTGCTTAGCAAATACCTATCTGGTATTATTTTTAATTTAATTAAAAACTATAGAAATACGTAATTTTGAACTCATCGAAATAATTGCTATTAATCATAAATTAAAAAAATAATGACATTCAAATTACATGATTGCAAATGCATTTTACTTCTACTACCTCCACAATTTTGAGTTTTTCCAGGCAATAAGTATGTTATCAGAAAGCTCCAGAGGTTCTAACCGTTTGGGACAATCTGATATCTATTTTTACTTGAAAATATGAATGAACTACTAGTTGTCCATGGTATAGTGCCTTAAGGTGAATTGCTGGAAATTTCCATACCATAATATAATTTAAAATTTTGAAAAAAAAAATTGAAGAATAGAATTTTACATTTTTTACATTTTTTAGTAAAATTTAAGTAAATTTAAGTCCGAAATCATCAAACTTGTCATTCCAAAAATTGAATCAATTCTTTATTCCGTCGATACAAGTGAAATAATTTTTGAATCATTCAAATCGGTTCATCTGTACTCTCGAAATCGTCGACTAAACTTTGTACCTACACATAAATACATCCATTCTTTCTAATTAAGTATGCCAAAATGTTGAAGGGGTCTTGAAATGCCAAGATACACAAAAAATATGTTAGATTTTTTTTGCGCCACTGTATATCTTACCCTGATAAAAGTTAAAAATATGCTTTCAATTTGAACCGTTTCCAAAAATAGCATTTATTACCATTAGCAAAAATATAAGAAAAAAATATCAAATATAGATAGGTTAACCATCCGGGACATAAGCATTGAGATGACAATATTTTTGAAAAAAAAAAAAATAACAACGGTACAACTAAATTTCTGCATAAGCCCACAATTTAGAAACATCTATTTACATTTCATTCAACGAATCGTAGGTAAGATGAAAAATTGAAATTTGAATTTTGATTATATGAAATATATCTTGATTATTTGATTTTCAAAATTTGATTATATGAAAATTTGGTCTTGCACCAGGAATGGAATTGTTTTCTAAAATTATAGTGTAGATATTTATCTTATAGTTTAGAAATATTGTTAATGCTTTACTAATGGCATATACGATGATCGATATACTCCAAACTCGTATTAGCACAGTCATTTCATTTGTCTGGTTCAACGGAATCGGTGCCATATCGTGATCAATATGGAATGGTGGTGGAATGGTTACCGGAGTAACGGAAATGTTTGAAATTGACAACAAAAAACAAGTATGAATGTGTACATAATTATGATATATACAAATATATATGTATCATAATTAAGGTACGTAAACATAATCAATCTATTTGCTACACAAATAAAATTGAATTTACAGTGTACAAGAAAATTAAACTGTTAATGTAAATTCGAGTTTTTATTCGAACATTGGTTAATGGTAATTCGAATTTTTATTTGCAAAATTATTTTTTTATATATAGCCTTTAACGTCAATGCATTTTGTTAGTGGTAATCTCATTTAATCTAATATATCAAGTCCATCTCAAAATCCGAATTATATCAAATTTCTGAGATAGGGAGTATCAAAGTATCAAGAAATCTGAATTATATTACGGTTTTCAGTAGCCTAGTGGTTAGAGCTTAAGACTTTCAATCAGAAAGTTGCCAGATAGATGGCAACATGTTATAATTGAAAATGGATCTAACCCGATATTGCTGAATCAAATTAAATATGATTGAATATGATCACTATTAGAGATTTTCTAATATTATCAATATAAAATGCTTTTTCGATTTTTTAAAAAGAAAATTGTAACCTTTTATTTTCTTTCACAATTTGAACACTTCTTTATATATTTAATGAAATATAGCATATTATAAATTATTAGAGTAAAAACCCCGGGCTAGCATTAATGACCTATATTATTATACAAAAAAAAATTGGATTGAATTAAATTGATACTTTGAAAATTAAATCCATCAAATAGAGCTAGGTCTAGTAGTGTTGTGTTTCCACCTGAAAAGCAAAACAGTTAAGGAAAATTATTACCACAGCTTATATTATGGGTCTATTAAGTTCTGACCGTTTTTTTCACAAAAATGATAAAATAAAAAAAATCATATGGAAAAACTTTGATCCAAATGGCAATTACCCACTGGGGTAAGTACTATATATTATTATATGTAAATAATGTAAATCAAAATAATTTATAGAATGTATTGACATGTTCTAATGATTATTATTAAAAGAAAAAAAAAAGAAAAAACTTGGTCTACTAACCACTGGTTTTAGATTCGATATTCACCTCGGTAGATATCAAGCAGTAGTAATATTAGATTTTCACTTGAGGTCATTGATCTATACTATGATATCACTTGAAAATAGGCTTTCAGGGCATTGCTCTAAAAATAATGAAGTCAAAAATACTGATTAAATATAATAAATTATAACTGGAAAGAATAACACCTGGGTTGCCTTCGAATAGTCATCTGTTGAATTTTATACAATAATTACTGAATTCTGTCATATTAGTAGACACATATATGTGTCCTTCTATAGAAATAAAATATAATTTTATAGAAGTTCATGTTGACTGTGTATGTTGGTATTAATATTGCACTCAAATTGTGATTTTAAATTTTTATAGTAATAGTTGCACCGGCATCGATCATTATCTGATTTTCTACTATAAATACATCTATCTGATCACTAAAAAAAATTTCCTATTGATGCGAATTACTATGTTAAGCACTTTATATAAAATTGTTATCAAGTAATAAATAAAACACATGTATTCGGTATTCATATAAATGTATTAACTATTGGCCTTCTTTCTCAAACTTATCATTATTTGAAACGCATTCAATATATTCATATGTATAATAGATACAAACTTTTTCGTTATTTACAATAGCCATAATAATATATTACCTTTTTAATATTATTTTCTAAATTCTATGCATGCTGTATGTATAATAACTAATGTATAATATCGTCTTAACAATTGCGCGTTTTACGTGAAGCTTAACATACTGCCTCATATTCATATTCTTTAGAATTCCTCGATCCTTTTAGTAATGGATCAAAAAAATCGATTAGCAAAAATAGCGTAATTATTCATTAACAATTTTATAGTATATATATATAGAACTTAACATTAACATTATGTTATATAACTTATGCCTATAAGTCGAGATGGATGCATGGATTCATTTGCAAGGTTATAGTTTTTATTCCATTGAAGAAATCGCACTAAGAAATCTGATCTGCAAACTTTAATCATAAAAAAATTAATATTACTGTATTTTTGATATTTTCTTGATTAACTATAAATAATCAAATTTTTAAGATTGGTTCAAAATTATGCTTTTTACTAAATTTTAAATATATTTAGAAATTGTAAAGATTAATATATATAATGTGCTATTTCCTAAATAAGTGTTGGCAAAGAACCCTCGATCTACTCGAACAATTCTTTTCCCATATTAAAGTGGTTTATTGAATTTCATCGATCCAAAATATTAATTTAAAATCCTTAGGTAATTTGCAGCGCTGATTTTTCTAAAGTAATCTTATCAACTATTACAGAAGGATAAAATTGAAGTAATTCAGTTTAAAATTCTTCCGCAATTTAGACTATAATTGCTAAAAAAAAAGTACATTAATAGCGTATTTTAAATAACAACCAATTATAGTCAATTTCCTAATTTTTGATTTCTCAGTGCGATTTGCTTATAATAACACAAGGAACAAATGCAAACGGGAATTTATTTGGAAATTTTTTTTTTCACAAATCTTTTCTTTTAGTTGTTTTTTCTACTTTAATGAACATGATTTTATAGATAACGTGAAAATTTTCGGTATATTTTCTAAGCTGATATAAGGACAAAACACTCTATTCAAATATTATTGTAATCAGCATAGATGTTAGGAAATCTTATCTAGTTTAATAATTTTTTACATCGACATTTTATCATTGATTTTACATATTACTTTATCATATTCGGATTAACTAGTATAAAACTAGTATAAAAAGATTTGCAAAAAATTCCAATCATTTTCCATGTTATTCCAATTTAAATTTTTCGCCTGGCTTCAGAATAACTTAATTATTCACAAAATCAATCGTTTATCAGTACAATATATTTTCTTATGTATTCAACTTTATGCATCCAGTCTTAATTACAATATTAACTTCTATTATACTTTATAATTACGTATTAAATTTATATGATTTGAAATAGATGCAACTGAATAAATCTATGTTGTGCGATGACAATTTTTTAATCATCAAATTCAGAAAATGCCATTTCATTTTCTAAATTCTAACAAAATATTATGCAAGTTTGAAATACTTTACACGTATTATTCACATGTAACTTTGTATAATTGTAAATTTTGTAAATAATTATTTTCAACGAATTAATGTTCTTATTATCTAATGTATATAAATATCGCTTAGGGTGTATATATATTGTCTTTTTTAATAAATCTTATGCGTCTATAAAATGGATAGTAGAAAAGTTAGACATGATTTTTTTATTAAATTAATTACATAGATTTATTAGAAATTCATATTATTTCCTTTGATATGAAGTATTAGAATATGTATGATGAAGTATGATAGAATTAGTTCGCAGAAATATAAATATTAAAAAATTAAAAATTAAAATTGAGAAAAATACAAAATAAAACTATTTTTGTTTCAAAGTTGCAATAAATGAGTTCCACGGTTGTCTGACTAAAAAAATAAAATATTATTTGAATTAGTAAATAAAAACTAAATAAATAAAACTCCAAATTATAATATATTGACTTTTAATTAAAATATAATATAAATATGTACAAAATATACAAAATTAATAAATCAAATTTAAATTATAATATGTACATTCAAAATAAAAATTTAAATATGAGGTTCTAGAATATTTTACATCTTAATTTTATATAGTTCTAAATATGAATAACCTATTGTAGGGTAATATGCGTTATACGAGTAATCATTTACGTGAAATAATTCTTTGAATGAGCATTTTTAGTTCATTATCATTATGTTATAGATTCATTTAAGTAAACATAAAAAATAAAGAAAATGATTTTCAGAAATATTTTTAACCTGTTCTGTAAATAAATCTACAACAATTTCATGAACATATTATCATTTATAAGCATTCTATATATTTTCTCATAAATATTTATTCTTATAATTAAAAGCAGGAAATAGCTTTTCTGTTTTATGGTAATTTTTTACAGGCTAAAATAGAGATATGGTTTCATTATTATAGCGTAGCTTAAAAAATAAATGACTGCTTTTTTGCAATACCTTCGGTATTATTTTGTATGATGATGAAATGTATGCAGATGATATATAAATGGGGGTTTTATGATATAATACCGATATATTATTATTAAAAAGTTGTAATTATTACAACTTAATTTTTTTATACTATATCAAAGATATGCATCATGTGACAGTGCCTTTATTTACATTGATTTGTTTTGACAAACTGTTGGTGGAAAATGCCTTGAACTACTGAACCTCAGGAATTAGAAATAGCCCAAATATTTGTTTTAAGGAAATATACTAGAACACTTTTTAATCGAAATTTCTAGAGTTCCAGAACAAGAAATTTTCAAAATTCATGCGTATTTATATTTTGCTTAGATATATGAAAACTGACGAAAGGCGTTACATAAATAATTTTTGTAATTTTTGTATAAGGTTATTGAAGATCCATACATTTTAATTCAACATTTTAATTTAATATTTAATATATGGCTAATATTTCATAAGAAATGGCTAATATTTCTTGTGAGATATTTAATAAGCATATGCTTATGGTTTTAATTTATGGCTAATTCTTTTTATTTATGGCAGTTTTTAGTATTCATATAAATACATTCCATCAACAATGAAATGTGTATATAAATATGCAATATAACCCCTTAGAACATCTTGATTCTTTTGGTTCCTCTAAATTTCAATATTCTATTGCTAATAACAATGACCTGAATAAGATATAAAATAACCGAAATAAATTTAGATTTTTTTAATGAAAAAAAAAATTGGATTATACATGTTATATTAATGCATAATATTTAGATAACAAAATTGGAGTTTAAACGTATGTATCTTCAATAAATTATTCATAAAGTTTTTATTCGTGCAACGCCCGATTTTTAGTAGTACATCCTCCATTTGTATTTAGTTATAAAAATATTTAGTTTAAAATAATTCCAGATGTAATATCAAGATTCTATAAAAAGATATAAAATAGTACGGATCTATAATTAATACGAATCTAGAAATTGATATTTCTATATAATACATATAAGGGGTCAATTCTTCGATAAAATAGATCGTACCATAGGCCAACGCTTCTTTCTTCATATGAATTGATAGTAAAAACTGTCAAATGCAACTTTTGGGCGTTTTAGATATAAAATCTAGCCTAGAAAACGCACAAATGTAAAAAAGTTAATCTACATTTCTGATGTGTATAGATAACACATACGTGAAGTTATATTTTATGTGTGAAACACCTGATTGCACAGCAAATACATAGCATTTTGACAGTTTTTACTACCAATTCATATGAAGAAAGTAACGTAACACAGCGTTGCCATAACAACGTGAAGTCACCATCCATTTTATCGGAAGATTGGCCCCCTTGTTAAATAAATCTTTTATTTGTCATAATTCTAAAAAATGTGGTTCAGCAGTTCAAGTTCATGAATGAACAAATAATTTGGTAGAACTGACAATAAGAGAAGCAACAATCAAACTTATAATTTTTGCAACTTTTTATGTAGTTCATCCTATATTAATTCTACAGTCTTATTGTTAGTTAATTTAATATTATTATTATTTTATTCTGGAAACCTATCTAATTGCATTTTTGGCGCATACGATTGTGAAATTATTCAAATAAACCATCGCCAAATATCTTTATTTACGTGTAATGCTTACACTATCTTATTCTAGTCATATAAAATTTTAAGGCAAAAGCTATCTTCGTACAAATGCAGGCTGCGTTTATCAAAATATTTAAAAACTAGCATTTCTGACTAGTTTTTATATAATACATACAACTTTCGCTATTAACAATATTTTTGCTTCATTAACACATTAATTGTATAAAGCGATTGGTAACCATTTTTATACTTTAGATTTGAGGGTAACTTGTGTGGATACAGGACTTAGACTTAGCGTATTTTAACTATAATGACAAGATATTAGAACAAAAATTGAACGAAAAATGTTATATTATTTATTCGTCCTATGAGCCTTCCAAACTTAGATTTCTCTTAATCTTTACGAGCCCTAGATTTTTTTTTAAATAAGTAACACTAAAAATGGCAAAACTCATACAGCTTTAGAAATCTTTCAAACCGAATTATATACGTTTCAAATATTTAATTCGGTGTTTCCATATTTTCATTCCTTAAGTCTTACTGCTTAAAAAAACCTTCATCTACATTTTGAAAATAAACCCAAAGACAGTAAAAAAATAATAGTAATCATAATACCAGACAAGTTATTGATATCCTAACTACACATAAATAATTATCTAGTTATCTAATTGATAATTCATATATTATGCAGTCATAGCTTTACTCAAAAAATCACATAGTTCATCCAAGCAAAATATAATTCATCAAAATCATTCCACATTCATATATTTCTTAATTTTTAAAATCCTTCTGTAAGGATTAAATAATGATCACAAATAGTAATTAATAAATATTATGTCTACACTATTTTGTAATATATATAATTCGAAGTTATGAGGGACGTTAAAGATTATTTAAATTTTATTTTATACTGTAATTAAGCTTACTTATTGAAATACATGGTTTTTGAATATAAAGATAAATCCAAATTATTTTTGCAAATAAACTCAAGATTTTTAAAATTTCCTTTATAATAAATATCATACTTGGTATGACGTAAGAAATATTGTTTTGAAAATTATATTTAATTCAAATGATTTTTTTGCCCATTTTTTAAAAGTAATAAACATGCCAATATTCGGAGGGACCATATATTATTTAAATTATTAAGAGCCAACGATCGGAAAATTTACCTTAACAATTTTCGAGATCGTTGGCCCTTAACTCTACAAAATGGTGCAGACATAATATACAAATAAATTCTTAATTTAACTAAGCTCAAACTGATTCTTCTAAACAATAATATGAATTGTGAAATTGTATACCCTACGGATTTCTTAATTTCTGGCCTTTGCTACGATCGGCACTTTTGCTACGACTCCGACTTCGCCTGGTCTTCTTGTTAGTACTATTTTGTTTCCTTCGTTCTTCAGACTCTGAACTAGTTGGGGAATATTCTGCCTGGCGTCGAGCAACTACTGGCGACCTGAAGTATAACTAAATTAAATTTATTGCTTACTTTAACATCGATCATAAACTTAGACACAGGGAAAAGCTTTAAAATTAACCCTCCGTCGGTCAGATATTTATTTACCTACGAACGGTCGGAGTAGCCTGGCTGGACCACACATTTTTTCGTCCTGATTTTTTTATTGATCGACAGCTAATGAAATTTTAGAAAAAGTCCAGAAATCTCAAGTCCATAGGATTACTAAAAGTATTTTTTTTTAAATTGAAGTCGAAAAAAGTCTGGCCAGACCACTCCGACCGACGGAGGGTTAAAAGTTATCTCTAATAACATAGTATAGATATTTAACTCAAAACAATTTAGTATTTTTTATGTTTGTCTACAGGTAATTAATAAATTGATAAAATTAACAAAAATCTAGTAAGATGATCTACCTATCATGGAACACATGTTTTTCTACCATATACTTACATCCGATCTGCCGCAAAAATATTAGAAGAAACTTTTTACATATATTCATTCTAGCATATAGCATATTTGATAAACAGATTAAAAATTAATTGAACAACTAATATTAACATAAAATTGAATGAAAATTACAATAAAATATAGATTATAATTAAAATATTCTTAGCAAATCAAATCCTACATCTTGTTTAGTATGGCTGTAAATATGTATTATGTGCATCGTGTATAATTTTAATTAACGTTGTGATAGTATTAATAAAAGTAATTTTTATTATTTATGACAAAATATAAATATAAACAACTCGCGGAAAATCAGACTATATTCTCATACGATAATAAAATATACCAATGAACTATTTATGAAACTGCAATAAGTTGTAAACATATGAATCAACAACAATAGCTAAATTTGTGTTTATTAACCACTTTATTGTGTCGCTCACATAAGATAATAAGTACAGTTTTGTGTCGTGTGAATTGAGCCCATGACTATCAAATGAGAAATGTAGGATATTTTATAAAATTGAGCAAATTTATTAGTATATTTCACTTCTTTGTTAACATGATATATAATATTTCAAACGCTCTAAACGTTTTTAAATATTTTTAATAAAAACGGAATAAATTCAATTAAAACTATTACACATGGTATATGTATATTTTCCTGATAAAGATTAAAATAACTTAGTCATTATTTATAAAAAATTATTTATAAGTAAATAGTTCAAATTATATCATTATCAATAAAATATTGTTAATATTATAACAAATGGAAAAACAACTATTGACTATTTTTTCAACATGTCCATTTAGTATACAATGTCCCTTTACGGCTGACATTTGTAAATCCCCGAAATTTATTAAATACCCTTAATTGGACAGTTTTAAATAAAATAGAGAATAAAAAAAATTATATCTAAGGTAAGAGTAGTTTTAAATAGTAAGAATAGTTTCAAAATAAAAAGCAGAATAATTATTTAAATAGCTAATTAAGTTAATTCGTACGACTAGGGTAAATTATTTCCGCATTCCGAAAATTTTGGGCAACTCCCCTTGAAGTTAAATGCCACTTACAACTACTATTTTATACAGCCCTAGTCTTAAATTGTTTTTTACTTCTATTATTTTATATTCTATTTTTTTCAATGATATTCTATTTCTATTATTTTATATTTCTATTTTTTTCAATAAGCATGAGTACTATACTCATCAATATACAAAATTATGGAACTCCTTCATGTAACTTACGAGTATATTTGTCAATTACAGTTCATTGGTTAATCAATCATTTTTTTTATGAAAACTTTACATTCTGATTTTTTTTAACTTACCTAAATGTATCAACAGTACCGCCATATCCATAGAAGTCCATTTTTCCTTCCTGGTCATTCGTTAAGCTTGCGGTCGTCCGTGATGAACTCTTGGACTCCGCCGACCTCCTGGTTGCAGTGGTACCAGCGCCTGCGCCGGAGGTGTACTGCTGACAACCGGTCATAAAATCACCTCTTGACGGTAATTCGGTATTGTCGCAGAAATTGTCATTATGGCTACGCAGGAAATACTCGTTATCCGATTCATATAAGTTACCACCTAAGTATTCGCGATTGCCTCCTGAATATGGATAGGAGTCACTACGTTGGTCCAAATCTCTGGAAAATAAAATTTATTTATAAATGATTGTGGATAATATGTTCAACTAATCTTATAAATATTTTTATTTGAATTTTACTGAAGTGGTGCAAGTGTGTTTTCTCACCTTAACCTATATTGTGGTTGGCAGCTTTGTTGCTGTTGCTGAAGTTGCTGAAGAGCATGAAGTCTATCATCGAAAGCTTCCGGCCTGTAACACTGTTCATATAATAAAGATCCGCTTTCATATTCATTTATTCCCTGGTCAAGGAACTGATCATTATCGAACAATTGCCTCTGACTATGGTCTTTGTTGCCGAACAAAAATTTTGTTTCCGCTCTGCCATCCGGACACTCGTCATTGTCGGGAAGGGAGCAAGATGATAGGGAATCTTCATCAGAATAGTTGTTACTGTCTGAAGTGTTTTTGTGATGCCTGTTTGAACGATTCGTTGTCCAACTGCTGGGGAATGCCGGAATCTGAAAATATAAAACAAGCCTGTTAATGGAAAAATTCATCAGAATGAATAATTTTGTTATACAGCAGTATGCATGGTTATTAATGGCAATTCTCAAATTTTATAAGTCTAATCTAAAGATTATATATTTTACTAAAATATGGCTTTTAATCAAATACTTGTTAATTATAATACTTACCGGTGGTGGATTGTTCAAGTTCTTTCTGGAAGCCACTGGAGAAGAATTCACTGGATTTGTCCGAATAGTCATGGTATTAATACCCCTGAAAGAATATTTACTTATTGAAAAACAAAGTATTTCAAATATTATACACTACATAAATAAAAATAGTGAATACAGATTTATTTCAGTAAAACCAAATTAGATTTTCTATTCACAATTTCTCTGAGATAAATAACCTACCTGAATGTTCCATAAGGATGATCTGGTGGAGGAGGAGCCAGATCACAAAAGTTAAGAGGCCCTCTATTCATTTGATTAAGTTGGTTTTGCTCTTGAGTGACTGCGTATTCGGAAGAACTAGGGCTTCTACTTGAATTCGATTTGACGCATGAATTATCCGATTGTGTTTCGTGGGCAGATATATGCTACAAGGATAACATTTATTAAACTTCGGTCTACTATTTGTAATAATTATTTTAATTACAAAAAACTGGTATGCACTATAATGAAGTCAATGTATTTTTATCAACAAATAACATTGGTTAAACTGGCGTAAAATTCATGATTTTCTTGTTAGTTTAACTTAGTTTGAAACTGTAGTTTCAACGAAAGTATGTAATAGTAAAAAATATGAATATAAGCTGTTGTTCAAATTAGTTACTTACCCCTTGATCTTTTAATCGTAAAGTGACTGTGGCATATGGTTCTGGTGGCGAATGAGTTTTTCCATTTGTAAGAATACCTTTTAGTGTTTTTGTATTCGGATTATTATTTGGAATGTTGTTGCCACCATTAGGTTGGTTAAATGATGATAGGTTTACTTCAGCGTATTCTGAGCAAACTGGTCCTCCAGGAATCATTGTTTTCGATATTAAAGTTCCTAATAAAAAATATATCTTATTATTCATAGAAAAATTGAATGAATGAACTTATATAATTGATTTCATTCGACAATTCAGATTATCGATTAGATATTTATGCAGTATAAGCTGATGCAAATCGTAAAATCGTACCAAGCTGATGGAATTTTTTAAAATTAATACTATATTATTAGCAAAGTAAACAATTTAATTTACCATTAACCCAAAGAGATTCTGTTCTATTCACACCATATCCAGTGATACCCGTATGCTTAGCACCATTTCCCGGCTTCTTTCTGTGACGTCTCAATCGTACAAAAAGAGCAGCACATGCTGCGCCTCCGGCTAAACATGCTCCTGCAGCAGCAAGTGCTGCCAAAGGCCAACGCGATGACTCACCAGCTGGATCGGTCCTAGAAAACGATCAACATAGGAATATAATTTATTCATGGAAAATAACAAAAAACATGCCAGAGAATTATGAATACATCAGAAAACTTAAATTTATTTCAAAATATACTGGTTACTTACTTGGGTGGTCTCTGAATAAGTTCTGGATCCATGTGTAATGTTAAAGGCTGACTGAAAGGCCCGCTTCCACCGCCTGTTATGGCCGAAACACGGGCCACGTATTTTCCGCCTGCGGATAAACTGTTAATAACTACTGACAACGTTGTTGCATTGAGCGTCATTTGTCCTAAAATCTTGCTGGTTGCGTTGCTTTTAATTTGAATCTGAAAAAAGAAATATATGAATGAATAACTGAATTTTGAGGAAGCTTTATTATGATGAAGGAAACTAAATAATTATTACCTTATATCCCACTAGATCGCCGTTTAATTCGTGCGTTGCAGGTGGTTGCCAACGAACATAAGCTGCAGTTGAATTTATTAAACCAACTCTAACATCTACGGGAGGCCCTGAGGGAGCTAGAATATTCAACATAGTTTTTATTATATATTAATATCAATATCAAAATGAAAATATCAATGCATTTAGATTTGACCTTGAATTATTAACAGTTATTCACAAGTTGTAAGTATAAATTTACTCACCATCTTCCATAGTTGTTCCTATCCTTATATTAGAAGCAGGAGCATTTCGTCTAGTTGCAAAAATTTCATAGTTTGTGTGCGCTCTCAGACCGCCTATCACAGTTTGAGACAAAGTCTGGTCGCTAACAACCAAAGATTGAAACTCGTCTAAAGATAATTGGAAAATAATAATTAATATTTTGATATCAAAGAACTTCTGTATTAATAATTTTAATGTACCAACCTTGAACATTCTTATCAACGCTCAAGCCATCTGACAATCCTTTCACTGGACGATATCTCAGAACGATACCGTCATGACTGCTGGTGTCAGATTCATCTTTTGACCAGGCAACCAGTACAGCATTCGGACTTACGGCCTGCACACGTTGTATACGCACTGGTGGCCTTGTCTGCTGGTCAGGCTCTGGTGGCCGGGATGAGTAGACAGCTTCATCAGGGGTTGCCACCTATAAGAGACATAGAAAATTAGATTTACTGACATTATAAGGTAGTTAATTTTTTAGTTCTCGGAAATATTTCAAGTAGGGTTAAAAAATATTAACCATTCTCAAGAGATTCGTATCACGTCATACCTACAACAAAATTACTCAGCAAAGTTTTATCTGCAGCAATCCTCATAAATCTTTATTTAAAAGTAAAAAATATCAACACAAACCTCTATGTAAATTCTTTTGCTAGTGCTTCCGGCCTCGTTCACCGCGGTGCAAACGTAGTAGCCCGATTGCATGCGATCGGCGCCACTTAGTTTTAGCTCTCCCTTCTGTGTCACATAGGAGCGCGCGTCGAATGAGCCGCCGGGGGAAACCAAATGGGTTGCTGAATCATCCGTGGAGGCTGATTGTTGAACCACAGACTGCGAGGTGGAACTCAAATCGAGGACACTCATGGTCTGTGGGTGCTGAGGGCCTTGGAAGTCGTTCGATAGTTGACGCTGAGAATAATAAAGTTACAGATTAATTTGGGAATTATAATTATTATTAAAAATTTATTCTAAACGTAATATATATATACTATATAATATATATATATACTATAATATATATATATATATATATATATACATACGCAACACGCATATTTAAATATATGTGTGTGTGAGGAGAGACAAAGTAGATAGTCAAGATAACAAATGAAATGCTGAAGAAATAGCGAGAGGAGAGAACTCTAATAATCATGAAATGAAAAAGAAACTGGATCTGACCCAGTCTGCAAAAACAGCGCCTACTGCACGACGTCATCGAAGGTAAAATATTGCTAAAAAATGCAGAAGAAGAATGCAGATAATTGACGACTTACTTTAGAGAAAATGGGAAATGAAAGCCGAAACAAGAAGTGCATAAAAAGTGAACAATGGCAAAGAAATGGTGATGGGAATAATAAACAAGGGAATTAATAAAAATAATGGTCCTGCCTTTGAGCGGACAACCATCCATACTATATATGTGTGTATGTGCATTTACATAGTACATTGAGCTCCGAGTAAGGAAAACAAATAAAAACAAATGTTTTTTTATTTTCGACCATTTATCTTCTCAGCATTGTACGTTATAATAACACATGAAGACATACTAAAAGAATGAATAATACAAAAAATAGTGCAAAAATGTTAAAATAATGAATTAACCCTCCGTCGGGCGCAGCCGATCTGACAAATACAGGGCCAACATTTTAGCATGTTTCTCCATAATTTGATGTCGTCGAGATCTCCATATCTCAGTAGCCTTGTTATTTTATGTCTATTTAATCGTCCATATTAGATTGTCTTTGAACTTCGCATATTTTACTAGTAGCAATTTTGTTAAAAAAAAACGCACTAAGCCAAATTCTATTTGACGTACAAAATGACAAAAAACAACAAGTTTTTACTGTCCTAATTGTTTATATAGTCTTTGTATAAACATTTCAACAGAATCTGACAATTGTTTTCATATAGTTAATTAAATTATTCATTTCAGAAAAAGTAAGGTTTGTGCGTCTAGCATTTTGAGCGCACGTACGGATTTTTATATTTTGCTATATTATAAAAATAATATTGATCTATTATATATTTTGTTTTTGTTTACACATAATATACCTATTCAGCATTGTAAAAACGCAAATTAAATAAAAATATATAAAACTTTAAGCTTTCTGCCAATATTCTTATAATCATATTTGGACTGCGCCCGACGGAGGGTTAAGGAGTAAAAATTTATTTAGCTCGTTTCTATTATTTTTTTATAAAAATTAAGTATTTTAACAGTAAATAAATCCGTTCATGGTTTATGATATAAAAATTATCAACTCGCGCAATTGAAATACAAATAATTATAGTTTAAGATACTTGTTTTCAGTTGTTGGGAATGCATCAATTTTTAGAATTTTTTTTAATGCACATTAAAAATATATGCATTAAATTTTATTATTACAACTTTCATTTATATGGCCGTTTCTACTATTTATATCTCCTATACTACTATGTAATAAAAGCACCCTATTTAAAATATAATTAGTTTTGTCGTTAAAAAGCCGTAAAACACTCCTAATTCCTCTATCTCACATAACTGACCTTTAATCGAAGACTCATAATTTTTTCCTTGCTCAGTATCTCCCTTCGTTGTTCTTCCATAAAAATATTTTTCATGACTTCCTCCTCATCTTCTGAAAGCTCTCGCATACGTTCACGATCTTCCCATAGTTCTTCGTCGCTCACTGGTCCAGAAGTTGGCATCGAGGAAGGGACATAGGAATGGTTAATACTTCCTCCTAAGAATAGTAATTTGAAAAATTATTTTAATGGATTTTGAAGAGTACTATAAGGATAAAAGTTTCATTTACTGATTGTCGAAAAAAGTACATTTTTTAACTTACGTACAATTATTTTTTTCTTCATACACAAGAAAATATACGTTTAATGAACTGTTATAAAACAACTGCTAATACATTTTATTTAAAAAAAAATCCAATATATGGCTTAAGGGAGATTAATAGATATTTATATCTAATAACTCATATGCTTCTATGTCTTACCGGTTGGTTGAGCAAGTATTTCGTGATCTTGGTGTTGCACTGTAGATAAAGGTAAACGTTCCCAATAAATCCTTGGCTCCGGTTGGCCTTCTGCTCTGCAGGGCAATGTCACGTCGCCACCAGGGTCGACTGTTACGTCATTTGGTAGCTCGATTAACTTGGATAATGCTGAAATAAAAAACAATATTATATATAAGAAATATACGAAAGGTTAAAATTATTTTAATATGGGTGTGTAATGAAACTAATCTTCAAAACTTTAAAGTTGATTACAGAATTTTCGCTGAAGATTTAGATGATAACTTGCAATATATATTTTTTTAATATTTCACTTGATACTTACAATATACACTTAGTCGTGCACTATTCGCAATGTGTCCTCCTTCATTAGTTGCTTCGCAAGCATATTGTCCTTGGTCCTCCGGCCTCGTATCTTTTATCACAAGCGTTTGATCAGGCAAAATAGTGTAACGACCTTCAGGCAAAGGTTGGCCTCCGGCTCTGCGCCAGGACACTTCTGGAGCAGGATCACCCGTAACCTGGTAATACGAAATATATAATAAATTAGTGGGCGGCATGGCATCGTGCCTTAAGACAAATTGCTGCTACTTCCTGTACCAATTTTTTTTTTGAAAGATTAACATTTTTGGAAAAAAAATTACTCTGAAAAAATTAGATTTTTGAGAAACTATAAATTTTGACAAAAATTTACTTTTTTTTAAAAAAAAAAAAGAATTTTTGAAGAAAAAATTATTTTGAAATATTTTGGAAATTCAGAAAATTTTTTCGAAGCAATCGTACTGCTTTAACTGCACAGAGACGAAATATCGAATCGCGTATGCGCCGCGTCGCCGTCTAACGAATAAACATTGGTACGGAACCCATAGAAATGTAAACAAAATTCATACTTATTGTTAATATCTCTATAAAATATCTGATAATTTGCTGTGCATATGTCTAATGATCATTTTTGACCACCAACTGGCATTTTTTTCCTTTTTTACTAGATCTCCGAAACCGCTAGACTTGCCTTCATGAACATTTTTTCATGATCAGTTTTTCATCTTGTTAATACAAGTGAAATGTTTTTTTGAATTATTCAAATCCGACGCTCCGTTCTCTTAAAAACTGAGTTACCGTTTTTTGGCACTTTTTGCCTCATATCTTCGGAACGGCTAGACCTGCCTTCGCCAATAATCAGCACGTCTCCTTATCAATACGAATCAAATGTTTTTTGAATTATTCAAATCGCTTCATCCGTGTTCCCGAAATCTTCGACGAAAATTTATATCCGCATACACATACACACACGCACACACACATACATTCATTTTTTCTAAGGTATGCCAAAATATTCAGAAACCTCTTAAACGTAAAGGTATATAAAAATGTTTATTTTCGATTTTTTTGCGATTACTATAACTTACCCTACGGGAAGTTAATAAATCCATCTGTGGAGACAACTATGGGGATCAAATTGCAAATTCAGATTGGGGTATACCCCAAAAGTAAGTACCAAATTGGATAATACATGAAGACGCCGATATAAACGCAATATAAACGAGGAAATAAGAACACATTCTGACAATTACAATAGCCGGCTCGAGAATCATCTAATTCTAAACCCACTTAGCAGAGAACTACATCACGAGGACAAGCTTAGAAAGTTCATGTTACATAATATACGTCAACTTTAAAAAATCTGACAATGTCCATGTGTTGTCCATTTCAGGATAAATGTAAAAATAACTACATAATAATAATAAAAAATGGCATCTATAAAATTTGATCTTGTTTGGTTTATGCTAGCAATTGGTCCGAAAAATTTACTTTGCAAAGAAAATTACTTATGACATGATGACAAATATTATAAAATAATTTGTTATATATCAGTGTATATAAATATTCAAATCAGCTACAAATCTGAATCTCTACGATTCAAGACCGTACTATTTCTCTTAATAAAATTATGCTCTGAATTAATTACTTGGCACTGAAATTCCGCCGTAGCTCCTCGTACTGCCTCACGATCCTGCGGTGCCCGCAACACACGCGGCGGCGTCACCACCTTCAGTGTGGCCGCGTCTGTTTGCCGCACACCAGCCATGTTCTGAGCAGCGCAGCGATACGCCCCAGAGTCGGACGAACGGGTTTCGGAAATCAGCAAACCACCACCGTCGACCAGCGACAATCTGAAATCAGAGATAAAATAATAATGAATTAATATATAGATGATATAGATAATATATATTAGATAGTGTAGATATAAAATAGATGGTATAGATATTAATATATAGATGGTACATTCAAATTACTTGCTTAATCGATAATCGAGTTATAATTATATATAGAAAAATAGCTAACACCCAAATAGGATTAAACAATCTATTAGATTTACAACAAATTCTATTAGATTTACAAAAATTATGTAATCGAATAGAAGTTGCATAATTGTCGCTTAGAAAGAGACATTTCTACCATTTTAAGAAATTGGATAAGAATTATACAATAACTTTACTTTTTGAAACTTATTACCAGGATTTTAGAGTATAGCAAAAAAAAGAATCGATCTGTAATCGATATCAAATAAATATACATAAATGCATATACATAGTTCCGTACAGAGTGAAACGTTGGGACTTAATATTTCGAGCTAATGGTCTTAGGTCTTGCATTTGTCTTTTGTCTATAATTATCATTAATATTAAAAATAATATACTCAATTTAATAAGTTGAGTATATATTTTTGAAGTAAAACTTTACGGGTGTAAATCCGTACAAATGCAACGGAAGTGCGTTACGCCAGATAAGAGTCGAGTGCTAATGATGATTTATCATTCGCTCTTGATGATATTATAGATGTTGGGTCTATATATAATTTATATTTATAATTAAAAGAACTGAATAACGTGTATATAAGTTTAATTTATAATAACAAAACAAGTATAAAGCGAGATTGCATTTTTCGCATCCCTCGAGCCCACGCAAGTGTTGCACGATGCGCCGTCGCCAATTGACAGTTTGCGACGTTCTTCACACGCAACGTGTCTATGAAGTTGGTATTGGCGTTTCTGGTTGTTACTCTCACCGCTAGGTGTCAGGAGACGCCATAATATCATTTCTATACGGTCGTCGTATCATGAGGCTTCTTTGTATTTGTCTTACTGATAAACATTATTCAAAATTGTTTTATGATGCTTTTACTTGCAATTGAAATGCCATTCTGTGATAACAAAGAAGTTTTAATTCAATCACGTGTTAACCTTACGCGCACTCTCTTTTAATAATTGAGTATATTATTAAGTATATAATTTAAAAAAAATCAAAAATGTATGTAGTAAATATGGATGCTCAATCAATAATGAACTTCTTCATGGAATAATGGACTGCCATCATATATACAAAAAATGACTATGACACCAATTAAAATACATCATAATTAATTATACGCTCTATTGAATTAAATCATTCTGTTACGATTTGAAAGATAGTTATTCCTTTATCGAAAATCTTACAGAATTTGACATATTATTTGTTTGATAATTACTCAAGTGACAAAATTTTGGTATTATAGCAGAAAGGAAATATATTTAAATCAAGGACATAGAAAGTAAAATTCATATAATAAAATGCAGTTAAACGTTTAGAATTAATATTATTCTGCTTTGGTTTTTTGACTATCCGCCTGTGTGTGTCTGTTTTTTGGTATTCAAAAACCACCAATCGCCTTGAAAATTTGGGAAACTATTAGGTATACCCATAGTTTTTGCAATATTTTATTAAAAGCTTATTAAAATATTTAATTATAAGTACAACCTTTATTTTCCTTTCCTCTCTTTTACTTGACAATCTATCTAAACTAAACACTGTGACGAACTACATCAATGGATGCAGTTTCACTCTATTCTATACCATGCCCAATTGATTTTATATCCCATGTAGATAGATGATCAAATAAATATTAAAAGTAGTGATGTGCCGACTCGAAAATTCCTGATTCGAGTGATTCGAATCAGAAAAAAACCTGATTCGAATCATGATTCGAATCAATTCGAATCAAGTTCATATATGAGCAATATTAGGTTGTCAAATATCTCCCTTCCGCTTTTTTGCTATTTGTTTATAATACAAAAAGGCGGAAGGGAGATATTTGACAATCTAATATAATTTAAGAGAAGAAATAATATCATTTTAATAATTTTATAAGTGAAATAATTAATTTAGTAAGCAATTAGTTCCAAAAAGTGCAGAGATGAATACATTTATATTATATATATATATATATTTATATATATATATATATAATAATAATAATAAACTAGCTACAAATATAACTAATATTTCAAGTGAATTTACAGTAAAATATAACCAAACACTTCTCTATCACTAAAGCATATAAAACAATATTCTTAATCTTACGTTGAAAGAATGCATGTGTATATATTGATTGTTTAGATCTAATTAAACAGGGGGCTGAATCTAACGTCTTACGAATGATTTAAAATTCAATCCTCTACTCACTCTACTGTAAAGATTGATATTATTTCATTTGTGTGAATTTGCCATTACTTGCATAATTAAAATATGATAATTTGTATGTGTATAAAACTCGTTGTGTAGTTTATTTTGATAATAATTAAAATTAAATCGCGTATTTATTATCTAAATGAGTTTTTGATATTTCATGAACAAATTTGCTCTCAGCGCTTAGTCAAAAATAAACAACACTCAAGACCCATACGCACAGCATCTCGATAAGTCGATACGCTGAAACGCGGACACATGTTTCGAACTCAAGTCGGTATGATTCAGTTTGAGCCATATGAACTCGGATAAATTCATAACGACTTGAAGTCGGGATAAGTCGGTTTGAGTCATAGGAACTCGAATCAATTCATATCGACTTCAAGTCGGTTAGAGTCATAGGAACTCGAATCAATTCATATCGACTTGAAATCGGGATGAGTTGGTTTGAGTCATAGGAACTCGAATCAATTCATAACGACTTGAAGTCGGGATAAGTCGGTTGAGTCATAGGAACTCGGATGGTATTGTTAGACAATGAATGCGGTTAAAGTCATATAAATTGGAGTCGGGTGATACATTTAAGCGTATTAAAGCCGGGTGACTCGCATGATTTAATTCAAGATTTATTTTTTAATTTTATTATTATTATTTTTTATATTTATATTATTATTATTTATATTATTATAATATTGAATTAAATTAAAAACATTTTTTTATATTTATGAAAATTTGTGTTCACACATGTTTTATCACAGTAAATATTCGCGGCTTGATACGAGTTGATTCGAATCAAGTAAAATCTGATTCGAATCAAGTCGTTAAAGGCTTGATTCGAATGATTCGAATCACTTGATTCGACTTGGCACATCACTAATTAAA